CCCAGGCGCGCGCCTCGGGGGAGCTTGCCCAGGTCCTCAAGAGGCGGGCGCCTGCCTGGTTTAGTGCAGACAACGTGGACCTCGTCCACGATCTCTGCACTAGGCACAGGAAAGTGGCCGTCTAGGGCAGGATAGCTGCCAGCCTGGCCACCCAGGAGCAGGTGTGCATGAAAATCAAGGGGGTCCACTGAGACCCCCGACCCTGAGCCCTGAGCTTACAATGGCCGTACTGGGTCAGACCAAAGGTCCATCTAGCCCAGTAGCCTGTCTGCCAACAGCGGCCAACCCTAGGGACCCTGGAGGGGATGGACCGAAGACAGTGATCAAGCCATTTGTCTCGTGCCATCCCTCTCCAGCCTTCCACAAACTTTGGGCAGGGACACCACTCCTACCCTCTGGCTAATAGGACTCCATGGACCCAACCTCCATGACTTGATCTCACTTCCCTTTAAACTCTGTTCTAGTTGTAGCCTTCACAGCCTCCTGCAGCAAGGAGTTCTGCAGGTTAACTATTTGCTTTGTGAAGAAGAACAACTTTCTCTTACTAGTTTCAAGCCTGCTACCCATTCCTTTCCTTTGGTGTCCTCTAGTCCTTCTTTATGGGAACTCAGGAAGAACTTTTCTGAATGCACCCTCTCCACCCAACCCCTGCTTTTAGAGACCTCTATCCTGTCCCCCCTCCGTCTCCTCTTTTCTAAGCTGAACAGTCCCAGTCTCTGTAGCCTCTCTTCATCTGGGACCTGTTCCCAACCCCTGATCATGTTAGTTGCCCTCCCCTCTCCCAGCCTTTCTCTTCCCCTCTCCCACCTCCTTTTCCCAGTCTCCCCCAGTTTTTTTCAATAAAGACAGAGTCAATGTTGGAAGAAACGTTATCTTTATTTTGTACATCAATAAGAAGGGGGGCTAGGGAAGGGTAAGTGGAAGGAGGTGAGGGAGGAATGGGGTACGAGCCCCCGATGGGGAGGACTGGGCTGGCTCTGCGGGCTTCTGGGGGTGGAAGCTCTCCTGCAGCCCCCCAATTACTCCCTCTCCCCAGATGGCAGCCTGCGGCAAGTGCAGCCGGGCTGATGGCCGAGTGGTGTGATGTGCCCAGTGTGGGCACTCAGGGCACTCCAAGCCAGAACTTCTTTGCAAGCGGGGCACCCCTTAGAACTGTGTGTCCGGGGTGGGGGTCGGGACCCTTTAAGCGCAGCCCTCGGCTAGCCTGAGACAGCATCTCCATGCTCTAAGTCCTCCTCTTATGCCCTGCCGGCACTGCTTCCGGCCATCCTTAAGCCCTGTTCAGAGTCCACTCAATGTGGACTTGCTAGTTCGAATTAGCAAAACGCTAATTCGAACTAGTTTTTAGTTCTAGACGCGTTAGTTCGAATTAGCTTAGTTCGAATTAACTAATTCGAACTAAGTTAGTTCGAACTAACTCTGTAGTGTAGACATACCCTAACTGATATTCAAATATAAATACTTTATTGTATTATTTATGTTACATGACAACACAACACACACAATCTTTCATTCAAATGAAACTCCTACTGAAGTCAACAGAAGGCATGTCAGAACAATAACTTCAGTACTGAATTACCTTCAATTTACACATGGGAAAAACTTCTATTGGCTTAAATGGTTCTGAATCAGGTCCACAGTATCTTTCATGCAACATCTTTCATTTCAAAGCACTTTACAAATTAGAGTTTGTAACAGCAACAGACAGTTATAGAACTGTACTAGTAGTACCAGTTATAACAGAACTGGGTAACAAGGGCTTATGGACCACAAGTGATGTCTCCATTTTTACTTAGTTGCCACACCATTAATTTATGAATGGCAGTTTTCCTAAACAACCCTTTCACTGAGAAAATACCCTGGAAAGTTTCTGTGTAAGAATAGCCTCTTCCTGATCATCTGATCTGCTCCCGATGTATATTCAGAATCCCAACCCTCTCAATTTAGAGGAAAAGTTTACCCACTACTCTCAAACCAAAACTCTTGGGAGAATGACATCGATTTATTTCTATTTCCTGTATCATCATAGAAATTGTAAACTAAGTTCAATTTCCTGGGCCACCCATAAATTCCCTGTTCAACCTTACTGTCATGAAATTCTGGCTTCACTCACACCCCTGAAACACATTTGAGGCCACAGGACTGCCTTGATGTAAATAAAGGGAGAATTTGTTTTGGATGATTATGCAAATGGGAGCTTGAGTTACAGATCCTATGGTGAGTGCAGCACTGGCAATATGGTTAAAAAATCCAAAACACAACAAAAACGTTTGAATTCGTAAATGAACAAATCTGGTTTGGTAATCACTGAGACTGAATAAATGAAGGACCCTATGATGCTATTTTCATAAAGCCACTTTTAAAAGTTGAAACTGCTTTTTCATGTAATATTAAGGGGTACTTTTTAAAAAAAGCATCTGGGTTTTTTGGCAAGATGATATCAAGGTGTCTCTGCACTTGTACAGTGAAGCACACTTTATCTGTGATTTCCATATTGCTTAATAATTATTATTATTAATTGCATTTGTGCAGTTAAGACCCCACACAATCTTTTATACTTAGAAGAAAGGATTTGGTATTTCTTAACAAAAAAAGAAAAGCTAAACTAGGAGACTAGGAGCTCACTACCATCGTAGAAGGTAGAAAATTCAAATCGATCACAGCTTAGTACAAGCTTCTTAAATATTTCTAGATGACATCATTTTAAATTATACCTTGAAGGCCTACTTCTGACCTGAAATGACCAGTTGCAAATTCATTTGAGGGTAGAATTTATTTTAATTTTGCCTTTTTTGAATCTGATTACCTTTTACGGCTTCTGAAATTTACAAACCTGAAGTCTAAAATTAAAGAAGTGTGACTTTTGCCTTGTCAGTTTCCTGCCATTTCCTGATTATGAACAAACACTGTTTGAACCCAGAAGGTCAATACATAAATGCCCAATTTTTACAGAAGTGATTACTAGATAGTACAATAGGGAGTTGAGCTATGTGCCCCTGACCTGCCCCAACCCTCGTGTCCTTTTGTGACAGAATATGGTGGCAGACAATGTAAGAAGACATGAAACAGACAAATGCATTCCAAGGACAAGTAAATTAGTATACAGTGCAGACAGCATGCTGCAAGATCAACTGTCTTACATCCTAATAATAAATAAGCACGTCAGCAAACTGTCAGGTCCACGAATTGTTAATTGTCCAATGGAGAATGCTCAAATAATTTTGCGACTATGCAATGTTCTTTAGGGTGGAGGCTTTTTGGTAACTGATGTGTTCTAAATATAAACTTATTAAGCCCATCTTTCTTCCTTGATAGCACCACTCCACTTCATCTCTCTCTGATACCCTCTATGTGGTTTAGTTTCCCCATTGCCTGCTGTCTTTGATTTGCTTCTATTACCATGCTAAGTAGGCACCACAGTCAATGGGAACTGCAGGTGCTCAGCACCTTTGAAAATAAGACCCTCAATCTCATTTTGTTATTGGGATCACCCAGATTACAATCTTTGCTGCAAACCATTAGTAAAGAGTGTATGTATTAATTAACCAGTATTTACTATATTTCAGACCAAGAAAAAACACTCAGGGCTTCTAGATTCTTCTGTTAGGAGTAGGTGGGCAGATATTGCTCTAATGGTCTCCTATAGAGGGAGTATGCTAAAATAAAAACTACTGATTTGTTGTAACAAAAATACATTGCTTGAAGTCAGCATGCATTTAAATTCTCATTTATTTAGAGAATCTAGGTGGTTCCCTAAATGAACACATTTTGGAGAGCCCTGAGTATCCTCTGGAGTAAAAATTAATGAAAGATAGTTCATGTCCAGATAGTTCATATCATTCAGACTTGTAAACTTCTTAAAGTCTTATTTATTTTGCTCCCTGATACTTTCAGCTAAAATAAGTTATCAGCAAACATATTGCAGTGCAAAACACAGCAAAGAAAAATTAATTTGTTTCTTCATATCAAAGGAAGTTTCTCATAGCATGCTCCCTAAAGTATGCATTAAAATTGTGTATGTGTAATTTTTTTGTATAGGGTGTTTGTTTGCCCATTTTCAAATAGCAATGCCTTACTATGTGTCCATGTCTTTATGTAATACACATCTAGGCCCTGAAACTCCAGAGCCTCACACACATGCTTAATTTTAATCACATGTAGCCCCATTAAAGTCAATGTGGTTAGTTATTTTCTTAAAGTTAAACATGTGCCTAGGTCTATGCATGATCTGAGCTATATATAGAAACACACACATATATTTTCATGGCCAACATTAATTTGACTTATTGCTCTTGGGTGAGGTAGATGGGGAGAGTGAGGGAAATTTTCAGTGGTATAAGCTAGAGATGTGAATAGTTACCTAACTGGTGGAAGCTGGAACACTCCCCACTCGCCGCAGGCAGGGGGCTGGTCAATTACTGAGGGGACCTGTCCAAGATGGGGAGAGTTCCAGCCCATTCAGAGCAACCCCTGCCTGTGGTGAGCTTGGCTGGGATGTGCCACCAGCAGGAGTGCTTCAGTCTAGCCAGAGCAGCCCCTGTCTGTAGCAGGGGGTTGATCAAGCCCAGCCCAACCAGTTACATTTAACTGGTTAACCAGTTAAACGGGATTTTACATCCCTACTATAAGCATTCTCTCTGTTTTTAAGGCTAAAACACATGGATGAAAGAGAGGCTACAAAATTTTAGAATATAATATATATTCCCATATTTGGACAGGAAAGTGACATGATTACAAATCTTTTATAACAAATAGATGGGAAAATTTATAACAACAACACTTTACCTAACCATGTGTACAAATGTATATTTTAGGGGAACACTACCTTTTATCAGTTACCTGTCAGTGTCATGCATTAGTATTAAATAAGCAGTAACCCCATTCCTTTTAAATGTGCATATAAACCACATGAAATCACGATATTTACAGTTCATACATGTGTTATCTTTCTAAAACTCTGGACCCAGTTAATACACAGAGTGGTTTGTCAGAAGGCCAGGGACATGGGATCATAGAGACAATATCTTCTGGACAGTTTTCTGGAGGTTTAAATTTGGACACTGCATTTTATTAACTCATATGTCACAAAAAAGCAACATTTGGTCTCCCATGCATTTACAAAAGGATATTGTAGGAATGAGGTTTACCATAAGCAATATTAGCACTGCTATAAATGCGCCAAAGCAGAGCAATTATACCATGCAAAGCATGCAGAGAGAAAGAGAGGAAAAAAAGTATTGAAGCACCAGAGGGACAGACGCATTTGTTAAAAGAGATTCTCTAAGCATACTAACCTGCTGGTTCTAATGAATTTTCTACTTTGTCGTTAACATCGAAAACACGATCATGAACACCTATAGTTTTCATACAGCTGTCTATAACAAAAATAGAGATAACAGCCAAATATGTTAGTGAGACACCCTTAAACTCCCCACTTTCTTTTTTTTTCCTCTAGCTTTTCTCTCTCTATTTTTATATATATATATATATATATTTATATTTTAAAGTCTGCGGCACTTGTCCAAATGCCAGTAAGTCCTCTGTTTGTAAAACAATTTAAGAAACAACAAGTTAGCAACTGCTAGGTAATAAAACAAAAAGCTTTATGAAGAATGATAAGAAAATATGATGAAAACTGAAACACAAATGCTGCTATACAGAACAAATACCACACAAGATTTAACAGTAAATAAAAAAACAAAAAAAGGTTTTTTGCTGTTTACCAGACCACACAGTAAAGCATGCGCTATAAAGCCACCCTTTAAAGCTTGATTTAAAGAACTTACTTGCTGGCCGCACAAAGACTTTAAGCTTTAGACAGGACCTCCTTCCATTATCCGGGATAGCAGAAGCTGTCGAAGAAGAGAAAGAGAGAAACAAAAAAAACCCAGTTATTCTTTATCTTAAGGGCAAATATCCCACATCTTCCAGTCTTCTGAAGAGAATATATGTATTTCAGGTTCTACCACACAAAGAAATGAACAATGCAGACCAGTACAAGGGCACCCTAGCTATGCAAGTGAAAGGAGAAAACTTCATGCAAACTATGTTAGACAAACACCTGTCAGGAATAGTCTGGTTATGATTTAGTCCTCCCTCAAGTGCAGGGGAACAAAGCTACTTTTCTACTTTCCTACTCTTCTATGTTTCTATGTCTCTCTAAAATATGTGAGAAACAAAGCACAGGATATTCTAGAAAGTTTCAATCTTCTCCTTTCCAACCCTTGTTCTCAACAGCCTATTTAAGACTAATTTGTACTCCACATGCTTAAGTTGAAAAACTCTACATTATTTCCCGCAAAATTCACAATTAAATGGATCCTCTTGAGTTACCAAAGGAAAAGCCAGTCTTGATACTGGTCAGTGTTAGGGAACTAGAAAAGCGTAAAATGAAATGGTAAGGATTGACTTAAAAAAAGTCATCAGAAGAAAATGAACATAATCTGCCTTTACTAAGATAACAGTGCTTCTTATACTCCTAAAACTTGTCTGCAAGAGATACAAAGGTTCTAGACAAAACATGAACCCTTGTCCTCTACAACTAAACTAGCCACCTCTTACTTGCCATTCAGATTGTCATTATACAGGCAATATCCAAAGAGGAAAAGTATGAAATTAGTAATCGGGCCATAAAACTATGTTTCATACTGTGCAAAAGATAATTTGGGGAAGACAACAGATAGTGTCTACTTGTTTACGCATGACAAATGCAGCTACACGTTTCTGTCATTTAAGGGGCTAGTCTGTCTTTAAAAGTGCATGGTGACTACTGAAAATTACACATCCACATAAGGAAAGCATAGATCTCTTAAGGTAAATTATCTCCTGGTTTCAAGACATCTTTGGAACCTGCATAAATGCTTGCAGCTACAAAAATGTAAGCACATCTTTACCTGTACGTATAAACTGAGAATCAAGTCACATGCATTCAGCATGCAAATCTACACTCACAGAGGACATCCCTCATGTGTAAACACTTTTGGGCAATTTTTTACAGCCACAAAAATCAGAGGTTGTTGCAGAAAGTGTAGCCTGTTGTGTTCCAAAGATTTTTTATTTCAATACACAGAATACACAGGAATTTAAAGAACTATGTACTAGCTGACAGCAAGTGGTTTTGTGTTTCAGAAAATGACAACCTGTTGGGAGCTGTCTTGTCTCACATAATGTTGAGAGGGGAGAAAGTGATTTTGTTCTCCCTCACACGTCTTGCCTGTTTTTATTAACTGCATCTTCTTCGGTGAGACAGATAACTAAAATGATTTACCCACACAAACATGAACTCACATGCTCTCTGTGAGGGACCACTGTACATGAAGCACTCTGAACTTAAAACTTCCTCTCCTCACTCCCCAGAATTCTTGCTTCTTGGAGAGGCATCAATGCCAGCAAATTTACCAGGCAATCCAAAGAAAGAAATTAAATAGAACTGGTGCCTTGATTCCATACCAATGGCAAGTTCATGAGAGACTGTCTCCCTGTTTTAATCACAGGACAAGAAAAATAGAGAAAAATGACACTTTCCCCCTCTTGTGCACAATGACAAGCCGTTAAGTAATGCTAACAGCTGGCTTAGCTGTAGGCACTCACTAAATCAAACTCAGAAAAACTCCCTCTGCTGACATTTACAGTAACTGGTGTGTTATTTAGGGCACAATATTTGCACTCTGTGGTTACAACCAGGAAATTATGTCCTTCCTGTGGCCCCTTGATTGTATGCATGCAACTACTGAATACTTTGCTTAGACAACATACATAAACTTGGATTATAGAAAAAAACTTTATAACTATTCCTGCATTACTAATGCTGAAGTGGTAGCACTAGTCTACATCAACACCATTTCCTTTGCTTGCATAAGCAGAACCTAACACATTCACTACTTACATTTCTATCTTGTGCAAGAATGACTTTAAAAGTGATCCATCAAGGTACATGCACTTATTGAAGGGCAGAATATAACTCTTACATTTTATGTCCGGAAACTCTAACTCAGTTTCATAGATCAGATTGTATAGGCTTATTGTTATTAGAGCAGTTTGCTAACTGTGATGAAAGTAGTCCTGTGATAAATAGGATTAATATTTTATCTGGGAAAATAGAAAAGCGATGCTCTGAGAACACACACTTCCAGTATTGACTATATCCTGTCCTGCCACAACTAGAAGCAAAAGCTACAGAATTAATATTTGATGGTCGGCCTTCCTTTGAAGAACATTTTTTAAAAAGAAGTATCCTATCTAGCCCTCCATCCTCACAAAAAGCTCACAAATGGTAACACGGCGGTGGTAAAAAATTTCCTAAGCCAACAGCTGACTGATATTTCCATGATAAAAATACAATGACTACAATATAATAGTTACATTAAATTCTCCCTCCTAGGAACAGATGCACTCTTTGATGACAGACATGAGGTAAAAGCTCCGCCTCCACCCCCAAAGGAGGTCATTTATTTTGCATGCTGACAGAAAAAAAATGCAAAACTCTCCTCATTCCCCATGTTTATTAAGTTAGGAGGAAAAAAATTCAAGTGAATTATTGTTCAGTTCTCACTTCTGCCTGAACTACCAAGGTGATTAAGGGACACATTGTAATCTCTCTGCACTTCCTGAGAAATTAAGAATTGCCTGCCAAACTGGGCTACTGCAATCATTTTGTTCTAGTTCAAAATTAGTAAATTTCTAGTAATCTAGTAAAACTAACTAGCATGCACGCGCGCGCACACACACACACACACACACACACACGCATACACAAACCAACCCCCGTCCCAAAATCCCTTCCTCCGAGTGACCAATTAGTGTACACTTTAGATTCATATGTATTATTCACAGGATGGATTTTAAGGGACTCTATCACCTGTTCAGTTTACACGTACTGCACCTACTGACAGTATCTCTATGTCTAGGCTACATCTCTCTTTTGACAGAGGGATGTAAATTAGGCACTTTGAAATTGCAAATGAAACCGGGATTTGAATTTTTCCATGCTTCTTTTGCATAATCACGTAATGGCGCTCTTTTGAAAAAAGTGCTATTTTGAAATTAAAACCGCAGTCTAGACGCGATTCTTTCGAAAACGGAAGGCTTTTTTGAAAGATCCTGTAAACTCATTTTAGATGTTTTCGAAAGAACCACGTCTAGACCGCTGTTTTAATTTCGAAATAGCACTTTTCGAAAGAACACCATTACATGATTATGCAAATGAAGCACAGGAAATTCAAATCCTGGCTTCATTTGCAATTTCTAGACACACACTGTGATCGCATCTGTCTTCCAAGACCTTTTCCCTTCTTTTTACTCTGAAATAGTTTGCCCACTCATTCCATAAAACCAGTTACTAAATATTTTGGGGATTTTTTAAAATCATTTCATCAGGAGAAAGAGTCTGGGCCAGATGGTTACACACAATGAGAGCTGCCCTTTGGGGAATGTTATTTTCTTGATTGGCTGCCTTTGGATTCTCTCTTTCTGAATGCTAAATAGTAGGCATGTCACAAACTTTGTCTTGACCAAGAAACACTGTCAGAATGTTTATTTCAGTCTGAGTTTAGTAAACACTTTCTAGTTGACCCACACTTAACCTGCTTCCCAGTGCAAATGCATAGTACCACCCTGAAGATCAATTTAGCGTGTCAAATAGTAGCATAAGCCCCCATCCTGCTGTTTAAATGTAGGGATGTAAAGGGTTAACCGGTTATTTGGTAAGTATCAGCCGTACCAGCACGCTTACCCAGTAACCTGTTAACTGATGGCTTGGCCTGGCCAGAGCAGCCTCCACCCATGTTTAGCTAATTTAACATAGAATTTAACCAGTTAACTTTTTAACCAGGAATTTACATCCCTATTTAAAAGTAGTTTTCTTGAGAGTTTTAAGCCTCACCTAACTCAGGGTGACTTGGAAGTAAGTACTGCGAATCTCAGCTACAAAGAAACACTGCAATATGACCAAAGACTACAGCAGAGGAAGAGAAGATGTACAACACGTGCTTCTGAGATCAAAATCTAAATATGCTCTGTGTAAAACCTTATGAAGAAAACTGCTATTCAGATTTTAGGATAACTTTCATGGCTTAGGGAGGAGGAATAGTAATTTCAACTAGGACCCCAATAAAATTAAAATCCCAGAGTGCCTCAATACACCCAAAAAGTTAACAATCCCTGAAACTTCCAGTGGGAAGCTCTGGGCACGGGTGATCAGGCTTAATCAAAGAATCTCATGGCACCAGGATTACTGTGGTTGGAAGGATCTATTTATTGATTTCCAGAGAAGAATAGGACCACCATGGTCATCAACGTGCTAGTGGCATGACACTGCCTGGTCTTTGTATATTTTCCTATCCATTTTTCCATTCCTGGGGAGGGTGGAAAAACTGAAGGCAGACTTTGGAAAACTTCAAGGAGACTTGTATTTACTTGTGAATGACTGTGAGACAAGAAAAATCTATTAACTCTATAGAAGGAGAGTGTGAATTAGCCCCCTGGAAGGAGAAAACTATTCAGTTGGTATCTGTAGCATACCATCAGGATAAGATTCCATTTGACCGTTGCTAGAATCTATTGAAATTAGACACGCTGCTACAAAACGTCTCTTGTCTGGACAGTACTTGGGCAAATACCATTCTCCTTGACTACAGAGGACCTACAGAGTTCATCCCTCAGATCTTTCTTTAGGTCTTTCCTAATCGTAGCATCAGATACGTACAAATAGAGGCCTGTCCCAAGAGCAATAAACCTCGGACAAAAATGAAATCTATCCTCAATAAATGCACTCCATTTCACATGGGAAATTTCCTGGGGATGGGGTTGCACAAAGTGAAGAAAAACTTACTGCACAAGGAAAAGAATCCCAGGC